TTTGAAAATTGGTAAAGACATGACCTTTGCTCTCAATCTAGAAATTATGAAATAAGTTATATTTCATTTGTATATTATATATTTATATATTGAAAATGTGTACTTTATGGTAAAAAATTGCCTTATATAACTACACCAACTTCAAATAACTTTGAAAAAAAAAGAAAAATAGATTGTCTTCTGAACAATTCACCTTCTACTGCATTAATAAAATACGAAACTTGTTCTTTTTTTTAGAAATTTGAAGAATTACGAGTATATTAGATCTAATTATTTCAAAAATCGAAATTATCTTTTTTATGCCATTTTATATAATCGAATTAAAAGATATTAATACAAAGAACAGCTATATGAGAAGTATTGTTATCATTAGAAGGGACGTATAAGATAGATTGTGCTGTCTCTGGAGCATAATATCTATATCCTAAGTTAACTTAAACAAATTGAAACCGTTGATGATCGAAGCTTCCAGTTCTTTTTCAATTTAATAAAAGTCGAATGAAGATACTAGACACATTTACGGTATCCTTTAAAAAATGGTATTTAACAGCAGTATGTTGAGTTAGTGAACTAGTAATTAATCTGAGTCCAGATCTATTTAAAATAAAAAACCTGTTATTTTTATTATTTACTGAAAAAAGCTGCTTGGACTATCAGGTTTTTTAAAACTGCTTCTATACTCTGTTTCTAATATAGACTAAACTAGTCTGATAAGTGAAAATCGCAAAAATATTTTTGGATTCAATGACAGAACTAAGTATAAGCTCTTTTGCTCAGCTATAAAAGATTGGATCGATTAGGATTGAGTGTAATAGATAAAAAGAAAAGCTTGAACTTTGTTCAAATATTTGTGAACTGTTTCTAAGTAATGAAATATACAAAATGGAGTTCCATCACTTCTGGAATTCATTTTCGAGCACTACAGATAGTACATTTGCATAATACGAGTATGTAAACATATGTATGTATTCTTTTATTTCTTTTTCAGAAAATATTGGCTGTAAATTTAGAATTTGTAGCTTTTATAATAATATGTGGTGTCTTTACTTATACCATTTCTTTGTAACTGCTATTAATCTGTTTATTTATAATATATTTTCGACTTTTCCAAGCAATTGATATATTGAGTATATTAATTCCAAAATGCTACTTGTATTAAGTACTCCAGAAACCGGATTAGTTAAATGTCTGTTACCACCGATCGAAGTAAGCTCGCTTTTACACTTTAAGAAACGAAATAAACTTAAAAATGTATGTGTATTAATAAAATATATATTAATTAGTAATATGTAAAATAGCATTACAATTCAATTTTTTTGGTAATTGAGGTTTCTCTATTCGATCTATTCTATGCTAAATGTCGCGCGATATTGAATTTTTCACAATTTTGCTCTCTATCTAATACTCAGTTCCTTGTATTAAATATTGTAATAATTGGTTGTTTTTTTTTATAATTTCTTTATATACATATAAATATTTATTTATTCTTTTGCTTAAAGTACATTCTGTGTGATATCACTATGACATCCGATATGTAGCAAATAGCGAATGAAGTCAATTTAAATCTGAGCCACGTTATATAGAAAACCCTTAAGACGTGTTCTATTTCTTTAAGATGAATACCATTCTTTTTTGAGGCTGGTGTGCAGGCAGTAAGTACCTTTCTGGATTTCTCTCTAAAAATTGTAGAAGTATGGTATTTTTTTCTCTTCTGTCCCTTATAAAGCCAACTTTTCCTAGACTTTGCAGCTTGTGAGTGAATTACTTGAACCTAGAGCAAAAAGTAAGACATTAATCCAAATCCAACAAATTCAAAGAATTTGGCGTAAACACTGATTTTGTGCCGGAGTTCATATTCATAGTTTTAAAACAATATATTTGAGTATCGGTATATAAATATTTACATATATAATGGAATATCTTTTCAAATAATTTAGTCAACTAAGTGACTTAGTTATTTCCCTAACATCCACTTCTATGGTTGTACTCGAACCATAGAAGTGTTGCTGTTATAATCCCAATCCAAGTTAATCCAAGTTGTTGTAAAATTTAATGTATAGAAAAAGATTGTACGCATCGGAAGACCAAAATGAATTTGGGTTTATAAGTTTCTAATAAGTAGGTATTTCAATCTTATTAAAACAGATTTAGAATAAAAAATATTTGAACATGTTTTCAGATTATATGTAAGATTATATATACATATATAATTCTTTCGAAGAATAATAATTTAAAATTAATAATCAAACTGATATTTATAATTTTTTTAACTGAAGAGAACTGGATATTACTACGCATTGAAATTTCGCATTTCTATACAAAACCCTTCGGAGCAGAGCCTTTAAATAGAATATGTTTAGCTTTTAAGCACTTATATTTGCTTGACTTCTTCGAATATAAAATAAACAACCCCAAAATATCTTACATACGCAATAATTTCAATTTAAAGTTTAATAGCCATAGCCTTTGGTTATTTTCATATATTTTTTAAATATTACAACAGAGTATTGTTGCTAACAGAGATTTGTGTGACACGAGAGAAGCGCATGTTAAAGATTTCTGTTAACATTATCGCATGCTATAAAAAAGTTTCGGACTTTGATTTTATTATTACATGCAAATAATTTTTAGATAGCAAATGGACGATTACTTCATTGTAATTAATAATTAATCCATAAAATGTAATTAAAGAACAATTGCAGTGCCAGTTTTATTATTCCAAATTTTTTAGGAAGTCTCTCGTTATCTCAGCAATAATAACACATTACAAAACTTAAGAGGACTCCAATTGGATATAGATTAACATTTATAAAGATAAAAATCACAAATGCTAGTGGCAATTCAAACAGCTTTTTGATATAAAAAAGAGTACTGCCTTCTTTCTTGATCTAAATAGATCTGAAATCAGGTAAAAAACTCATTTCTCAACTGAAATAAAAATATGCCTATATTCCATAGGTGGCAGATGGCAAATTTTGTGACTCATTCGTCCTTCTTAATAATCATTCTTTCTCGTTGTCATACAAGGTCTAGTACCTTGAGGTTAAGCGTATATAGCTATGATATCTCAAAGTAAGATTAAAGATTATATCCTACCCATAATTATGTTAGAAGGTTATAATATGTTCAAGCTAATATGAATCGGTTGCTATAAATGGCAGTTATTCCAATGAATGATATTAATTGCAATATAAAGAATAAACACAACAGATCTTATAGATCGCAGTTGCCATTTTTCTAGTAAATAGAATTATAGATATTATAGTTGATATTATATTTATAACAATTAAAATACAAAGATCTTTGGTCTTCTACGAGTTGACGACGACTATCACATACGAATAAACCACGAGCTATATAATCTTTATTACGACATTGATATAATTCAGCGAATTAACATGTCGTGAGAATGGATGAAGATGTTCCAGCGGAAAAGGCGTTTGAAGCAGTAGTTGACGGAGAAGATGTAGAAGTAGTGGAGTGATCAAGTTGAGGGTGCACTAACTGGACTTGATATGCGAGACTGGAGAAGACGCGCATGCAGCAGAGGCGCCTGGAGAGACATGCTGCGTCAGTCCGAAATTCGGTAACGGGTTGTTATGGCCAAATAAGTAAAACACAAAGAGTCGTTTGAATTTTGTTTTGTCTTATTGTCTTTATATTGTATTAGTCTATCGGTTTGTGTTAGATGTAATTGATTTATATAAGACCTAATTGATTTGTGTATAGATTATAGTGAAGACTAAATCAAACAAATTTTTTTTCTTTTTCTTTTACTTTTATTGATTTGATTTATTATAATAAACCAATATTATTTATTATTTTCGTTTTTAAGTTAAAAGTGAATATATAAATTTGCAGATTTATATGTATATATATATATATGTATACAGATATAGATTTATTATATATATAGATTTTATATATGCAGACAAATTAGTAAATACATTTATAATAAAAAGAACTATAAATTATTAATTTATTTATTTGTACAATTCTAAATACATGTGACTGTTATATTATGTTCAGGTACACCTTAATTTCGCAAAAATCTTAATTTCATCTTCATTTCAGCAAAATTAAGTTGTTTTTTTCATACAAAATTCAGTTTTAAGGTTAAAATGAAATTAAGGAAAATGTCCTTAATTTCGTTAAAAAGAAGGCTGAAATTTAGGGACATTTCAAATGCATCTATGAGTAAGATAAATTTTAAGCAAAACAAAAAGTTGAGATAACGAAAAAGTGACATATTTTTAAAGCAAATGTTAGTGACAGTTAATTTTAATAAAACCGTGAACTTATTTTGAAATTAGTACAAATTTTTAAATTTGTATGTAAAGAAAAAAGTGCAACTGTTATTGATTTAAAATAGAGTGAAAAATAATAATTCACATACCTGAAATCCAATGAAGTTAATAAAACCACTAAATGTACTCGTTTATAGTTATAATAATCAACTTTTAAAATTTCCTAGATACAAATGGTGTTTGAAGTATGTAATTTTTAACGATTGATTTGTAAATAAAAGACACATGATTTCCTTAATTTAGGGCAGTATGAACACTTTCGAAATGAACTTAATTTCATTTTTACGAAATTAAGGAAATTTGGCTGTCTGAACATAGTATTATGGTGTTTTCGATTGATAGTTCTGAGGTAAATTTTTCAATCGAGATGCTCTTTTAATGCACATTTTGTATATCACTCGAGATAAATGTAAAACACTCTAGACATTTTGCCAGAGTAGCAAGATTACACTGAAATTTAACAGCTGTTTTATGTGATTTGACAGATAAACTATGATATGATCCCATATATGTATTTCTGCACAATGTAAATGTCTACCAATAAGACTAAAAAAATATTAGATTACTCTAAAAATGTTCAATTAGACAAAAAAATATGACAGATCGAGAGTAGATTGAATCCAGAAGTACCAATCGAAAACGTCATTAAATAACTTCTGCCTCTCTGCTATTCTCTACGTTATGCTCTTGACGCTTTTGTAAATCATGCCTGTTCTTGGAAAACGACTGCATTGTTTAAGGCACTCCCTGTATGTAATAAAAACAGCTGTGTTTTGCAAGCATTTCCAAGCACTCAATGTGATTTTACATATAAGTAAACAAAATTATCTCAGTTAAATTATTTGTACAGCGTAGTCTTAATTTTTTAAATGGATTTAAGTAAAATAGAAATAAGTGATAAATTAGTGCCAGAAAACTATTTGAAATTGGCACAATCCGCTCAAAAGTCAAAAGAAGTTGCCGTTTCAGAGCTATTAGAAAAAGTAAAATTTATAATAAATATTCTCTTCATTAATAAAATAACAATTATCAGAACAATAAAAATCTTATTACCATTGCATAACAATTATTGTAATAATTAAAATTTTTCCACTAACAGCGGAAACTACCTGAAGAGGGATGGAGTGATGAGCGTATTGAGGCTTTAGTTGCACAATTGGCCGCATTAGACAGCAATAATTTTGTTTCAAAAGTTGGACTGGGCGAACGTGAAGCTAAAATCGTATGCAGTACGTTTTCCACGTAAATTCCTTAGTATAATATACCTACAATGATTTGATATGCTCTTTAGAACTTGTTGCACAGCGGCATTACAATTTTGGACATGGCATTGGGCGCTCCGGTGATTTGTTGGAACCGCAACCAAAAGCTGCTGGCTCTACAATATTATCCAACCTAACAAATGCACTACTACTGGAGCTTATTAAAGAAATGGGTGTGCGTAGTTGTAAAAGTTGCTTTCTGGTACCAATGGCGACGGGTATGTCATTGATGTTGTGCTTGCTAACACTTAGGAAACAAAGGCCACAAGCTAAATATGTGATATGGTCACGCATTGATCAGAAATCATGCTTTAAAAGTATAACGACGGCAAACCTCATACCGATTATAATAGACACAAATTATTCTAGCGAAAAAGGTTTGACAACCGATTTGGTAGCTTTTGAAAATAAGCTCAAGGAGTTGAATGTGGATGATATTGTTTGTGTATATACAACCACAAGCTGCTTTGCTCCACGCAATGCTGACAATATAATTGAAGTAGCCAAATTATCCGCACGTTACAAAGTGCCACATTTGGTTAACAATGCTTACGGCTTGCAGAGCACATATATAACGCATCAACTGGAGCAAGCAAATCGTTTGGGTCGTGTAGATCTTTTTGTGCAAAGTACGGATAAAAACCTAATGGTGCCAGTAGGTGGTGCTGTTGTGGCAGGTTTTCAAAATGAAACCGTACGAGCAGTTGCTAAAACATATGCAGGTTCGTTGGATTATAACTTATTAAAAAAGTTTTATAAATTTAATCTGAAATTAAACCAGGACGTGCTTCATCCTCACAGAGCTTAGATGTATTGATGACGTTATTGTCACTTGGCCGTAATGGTTATATTGACTATGTGCAGCAACGTAAAAACAATTTCATATATTTACGAAACAACTTGATTAAATTTGCAAACAGTCACAATGAAAAAGTTTTTGAAAGTAAAGGGAATCCAATTTCCTTAGCATTATCACTCGAAACATTTAAAAATACAAATATAACTCAAATTGGTTCCATGCTTTTTACGCGTGGTGTTTCTGGTGTACGTGTTGTTACTTGCATAGACATAAAGGATATAGACGGTTACAAATTTATAAGTGAGTACGAAACTACTGCTAAGTGTGTCATTAGTTTTGAAAAATATGTGTGTATATATTTTGAACAGATTGGGGAACACATTCTTCAGTAACAAACATACCTTATCTGACTGTCGCAGCTACACTTGGTTTAACAACGAATGAAATTGACTTATTTTTCAAGAAACTTGAGGATTGTTGGTCAGTATATAATAATAAGTTCGTGTAGTTAGAAATAATTAGTTTAAAGAATTAGACTCAATTCCATTTGCGTTCTTTAATAATCAAAAATTACTCTTTAATATAAAGTTCATATATTTATTCGTTATTTTGCGAGATACATGAGACAACACAAACTAACCCGTGATAATACAAACCATATACTTATATTAAACTAAACTTCATAAAATTCTGAGTGAAGTTATTATAAACTAATTTAAGAGAGAGTTATTTTTTTAATCTCATATTTTTAATACATGTATTATATTAGAATGTAACATAAAAAAATTGAATATTGTTTAAAATTGTTAACTACATATTTAGTGAATAAAAAATCTTAACATAAAGATATTTTGATAATATTTAACTAATGCAAATAACATTCATAATTACACAAAAACATTTTTAGATTTTATTTTTTAATTTAACTTTTATAATAAAAATAAATTTTACACTGAAAATATATTATAATAATATTAAATAAATGTAGATTACCTATATACAATTTGACTTTTATTTAAAATCAATATAAATTAAATTTTAACAAAACCAAATAATAACGATCATTTCTGTACATGCAAAATATTTTATCAATTATAACTCTACCGAGTTATTTTTTAATACGAGTATATTTAATATGTTGGTCCCTTTAAAAAAAAATTAAATATATATTTTTTAAATTGATTTATGTTTTCAACATGACATTTTCTACATAAACATTAACAAATGAGATTAACAACAAATTTAAAATATTGAAAAACATTTTTAAAATATTTACATATACTTATTGCATATATAGTTCGGAATGATAATTATTTCTTTATGTATAAACAATAATTCTTTTATAAATATTTATTTTCTAAAAAACAATTTTAACATTTGTTTAACATAAAGTTTGAAATTTGAATTTACATATTCCTAACTCATTTTTTGAACATGAGATATCATTTATTTATACATTCATTTTAATTTATTTTAACAGACATTATTAAATAAAATATTAATATTAAATTAAACATATAATATTTTCTAGCAATTGTTTAAAAAAATATATAAAATATATTTTTTTGTCACTTTAGTCTTCATTTAATTTTAGCTACAATTTAAAAACTAGATATTTTTAATCAATAGATTTAATCAATATATTTTGATAAACATATTTTCTGAAATGGAATTAAATTAATTTTCAATGACTTGTTTTTTTTATTAAAATTAAAGTCTATATAGCACATTTTTAAAAAATATTTATAAAAAGTATATATTGAAATAAAAAGATAGTAACACCAGGTTAATATCCATTTGTCTCTTAAAATATTACATTTCTTTCCATTTCTTTTTTATTTCTATGAACACCTCTCCCGTTATTAGTCTCATTTCGATTCATTATTGTGACTGTTGTATTTGCTTTTCCTAAGAGAAAATAGATATCAATAAAAAATATTTTAAATTTATGTTAATATCTAAGATAATATTAGATTAATTAAATAAGAATTTTATATAGTAAAACAACAAATCCATTTCGAATAGATATATCTGTTTTGATTCGTTAGACTAGGTTTGTTTAATTAAGTAATTTATAATTTAAAATTTTTTAACTTATGAATTCCATTTCCAAATTCCGGTCGGAGTCCGTAAACCGTTCTTTGGCATGATTGGGTATTATTCCTTTGCATTCCACAGAGTTGTGTGTCTTATTGCTTTGTATGTGTGCAGTAGAGTTTCTGTATCTTTACCCCATGAACATACTGGAGGCTTCAACATGTTGTTGCAAGATGTCAGTCGATT